CATAGCCCTCAGAATCACAGCAACTCAAACCACCACAGCATGACAGACAGACGAGTGGTGGCCATTTGGTTTTATGTCTATATTGTCTCTTTAAATTTCTATATCAATCTTGGTACAATCCTGATATAATCAAGAAACAATCAAGATGCTCTCTTCTAATCCTATCAATCCTGGTGCAATCAAGATAAGCTTTCCCAAGATGGTGGCTCCTGGAACAGCTGAGTGTCTAGATCCAGAAAATAATGGATTTCTGGATTCTCCTGCAAATTCCCCAGCTATAAATCCTCCGAACCTCCAAACATACTTTTATATTTGTTACAGAGTTCCAGCACCAACTCATGAGTCCTCTTGGCCCGGTATTCCGTGTTGTTGTTGACCAAGCTCCTCACTACACGTCTACCCAATCCACCATCTTGAAGGTGGAAGGCCTGGTAGTGTAGTGGTTAAAAATCTGGCTGTGATCCCCACGGTCAGCAGCTCAAATCCACCAGGCCCTCCATGTGAGAGAGATGAGGCTTTCCGTTAAACAGCCTTGTGGCCCAGTATTCCGTGTTGTTGTTGTTGGAGCTCCTCACTACACAAGGTCTCGCTGCTCGAAGTTCTCACTGCTCGAAGTTCTCGCAGCTCGAAGTTCTTGCTGCTCGAGGTTCTTGCTGCTCGAAGTTCTCCTCTGTATAATTATGCATCCTATTTTCCCTTCTCATTTTGCTTCTCCACACAGACTTCCAACAAGACCCAAGCCTGGGAAATCTGATGATGTGTTTCTAAAACCTTCCAATTCTGGAGAAATTAATATCAAGTCTCTGATCATTGGCTGGCAGGTCCCATTCACTCTTGTTTGACCGCATGGTGTAATTTCGTCCTTAGAGCCTCAGCCCCTCCTTGTTTCTGATTGGTTCCGTCTCTGTTTCAGAGCCAGAACACTGAGATATGGAGTTGGCACCCTGTCCCTTTTTAACTGTCATCTTGAGCAGATCACTTTGCTCTCTCCATGTTTCAACTTTCTTGTCCCTTCAAGTGGGGACAAAAATGTATCCTCTGGAGAGTTGTTGTTAAGAGTCCAGTGAGATACAGCCTGGAAGACCAGTTTATAAACCAGAAGCATGACATGAGGGTACATGTAATTTACGGTTTAGAACCCAACTTCTGGTTCTACACCCAAGCCCAAACTAGTTTTCACTGAGTCAATTCCAACTCACAGAGGGCCCATATGTGTCAGAGTAGAACTATACTCCATAAGGTTTTCAATAGTTTTCCACAGTTGACCTCCAAGCCTTTTTCTGAGGCACCTTTGGCTTAGTAGCCAAGGGCATTAACTGTTTTTAGTACACAGAGACTCCTCTGCCACACCGGTGGTTCTAAAATGTTTACCAATGGATGGACAACAGTGGAATCATCTGGAAAGTTAGTTTAAAAATAAGATTACCAGACACCATCCACACCACTGAATGTCTGTATTTTTTCTAAATGTTCCCAAGATGATTCTGAAGGAAACCAAGTGTGGCAGCTAGGGTCTTATCATATCTATGAAACTCACTGTCCGCCAATCACACTGCCATCTGCTCAATTAGAACTCACCACGCCGACCTCACAGGACAAAGTAGAATGGTTCTATGGGGAATCTGAGGCTGTAAATCTTTACAGGAGCAGAAAGTCTCACCTTTCTCCCCTGGATCAGCTGGTGGTCTTGAAAGCCAGCCTTGTGGTCAACAGTCCAGTGCTTCTCCTACAGCAATAGTCACTTCTTAACTGTGATGGGTCTGGAACAATGGACTTTTGGGTGATGGTCTTGTCTCTCAATTGGGCTTGTGGCTTTCAGGGTCCTTGTGCTGTATCTGGGGAATCTCTACAGTTTGATCATTGCTCTCCTGGACAAAGTTAACAGCATGAGTGTGGTGGTAAGTGCCCTGTGTTGAAAAAGTTACCCAGCCCCCAGCCCCATAGTCTCTCTCTCTCTCACACACACACACATCAGGGTCATCTTCATCATTGCTATCAACATTGTTTATTCTTATAATCCATCAGCATAATCACAACTCAATCTGGTTGTGATCTTCTCAAGGTAAGGATAGGAAAATGAACTCATTTCCTGGATCAAAAAAATAACAACAGACCAGAGTTCAGGCTGGTAAGTGAATTTCTAGGACAAGAACTGGTTCTTTTGATACCAAGTCTCTTTGTACCATTCTGCTCCATCTCCTTAAATCTCACTAGTAATTCTAGAAAGAGCTGCAGGCCATGGGACTCATTCAGAAAATCAGGAAAATAGAATAATCTCATGGGGGCAGTTCAGAGTGGGCCACACCCTGGCCCAGCAGAGGATGCCCACTCTCAGGCTAGGGTAATATTGGGGAGGGAAGTCCATTGTAAACCTGCCCCACCTGTAAGGGTATCTGAAAGGTAAAACAGGGGAGGCAGGGACGAGGAGGCTTCTCAGGGCTGTCAGCTGGTGCTATTCTATCCCAATATCAAGTCCCAAGGCTTATATGGCAGAAGAGCGCACTGAGAGAACTTATTTCATCAGGGCTTTGTACATTGCATCTCTGAGTCCTTATCTACCTCTTAACAATAGTATGACTTTTGAGCATTCGACTTCATCGCTCTGAGCTTCTGTCTCCTCATCTGTAACATGGGGACACGATTATTAGCTGACACACTTGTTAGGATGAGAAGAGAGAGCATGTGTTAATCTAGAACAGTCTCTGACACTTGCTAGGGGTCAGTAAATGTTGTTGTTGTTGTTAAGTGCCGTCGAGTCGGTTCCGACCCATAGCGACCCTGTACAAGGTTTCCGAGGGTGTAAATCTTTACGGGAGTAGAAAGCCTCATCTTTCTCCC